AATTCTGGGAGTTGAAGTCCACCCATCTTAAAGTGGCCAAGGTTGAAAAACACTGCTCTAGTGGTTCCCTGGATTTCTGCAATGTGTACACTGTGGCTCACGTTGGCTGACCCCATTGGATTTTACCTGTTGCAAACAGTTCAGCCAGCCCTGGCCCATTTCGGGAGGAGGAATACCTGCCAAGCTGCGTTGCCAGCTCATCTCCTCGGAGTTGAGGCCCTGGAGCTCTGGCTCCTGCACCGTCCCATCGCAGCTCCGTGCCTCGCAACAGCTGCAAATGCCCCTCGGCCCTTCCACAGGAATCCACCTGCCAGGGGAAACAGCGTGCTGTCGGGGAGCCAGCCTCTGTGCCCCCAGCTGGGCACCTTGGAAAAGGGGCAGCTACGGGCATTGCCAAGGCCGGCGGCTAGGTCTCAGCCTCCCCCAACCCACTGCTTCCTACAGGTGCTGGGTTACAACTCCCACAATTCGCCCATGCGGGAAAGAGAAGTGTTAGAAACAGGAGGGGGGAGAGCAGCCCGCCTTGAACTGGGCTGGCATGAGGGGCTGCTGGCTGAGGGCGAACTCACAAACGGCTGGCTGCGTCGAATGAACAGGCTTTGTTCCAGGCGTCTGGTGCCCGGTCTGCTGGGGTGACTTTCAGGTGGCAGGTGATGTAGATCTGGCAAAGGGGGAAAGAGGAATTGTCAGTCCCAAATCCCCAGCAGGGTGGGTTTTTCTCCCTTGCCATAAAACAGTGTTTTTCAACCTTGGCCACGTTAAGATGGGTGGACTTTAACATAGCTGGCTGGGGAATTCTGGGAGTTGAAGTCCACCCATCTTAACATGGCCAAGGTTGAAAAACAATGCCCTAAAGGCACCAAAGTGGTTGAGCAGGACCAGTGTTTCCCCTGGATGCTCAGTGAATGTGGGAAAAGAGACCTTGTTCTGTTCCGAAGCAGACTTAAACCTTGCTTGCCCCCTCCTTCAGGACATTGGTGGTGGGACGCGTGCCACCCGTGCTACTGGCTGGTCTCCAGCTGGAGATGTTGCCCCCAACCCTTAAGGGAAATGCATTTGCTTAGCGAGATGCCTGGAGATCTGAAGTTGGGTGGGGGGCAGATTTTCTTCCTGAAACAGGGGCCGCAGGCTGCCTTGCACTCTAGTGAAAAAAAACCCGGAATCTTCTCATTTTTTACTGGCGGTATTTACTGTTTCTGCTCCCAGAGGAAGAGAAACTCGCCATTAAAAAAAAAAAAAGCAAGCACCAGGGAACGACCGCTTTTATGCAGCGGCAGGTCAGCTAAGCACGAACCGACGGTTCAGACAACTCCCTGAATTGCAAACCAGTTAATTGTATTTTAATCGAGCACATAGTGTGAATTCAGTTCACCGCTCTGCATACAAAACCTGGTCTGTTAAGGCAGTTGATGATTTAGGCTATCGTGCAAAGGTTAAAAAATGGCTTCATTCTTTAAGCAGGATAAGGAAGGTGTGTGAATGCAACCACTGGGATTTATTCAGGGTTCATACCTCACACTATACCATAATTTAGTTGGTCTGGCTTTGCCTTAGCGCAGTGTTTCTCAGCCTCAGCAACTTTAAGACGTATGGACTTCAACTCATGCTGGCTGGGGGATTCTGGGAGTTGAAGTCCATACGTCTTAAAGTTGCTGAGGCTGAGAAACACTGGTTTAGCATGTGAACCAAGGTACTGTGGCTTTAAGCTAGAATTCTTAGCTTAGTATGTCATACAAAATAAGCTGTTGTTTCATCCTGGGCTTCGAACTCTGGGTGGTCAGTCCCACTGTGGCTGTTTCTGAAACCCCTACTTGGGCGAAGAGAGAAATCTGGCGGGAGTGGGGTGAAGGCTTTCTAAAGAGCCGTTGGGCACCCAAAGGTGTTGTAATTCACAAGGAGTGAGGGGGAGAATCCATCCAGGAAAAGGAGACCCCCCCACACCTCCCCAACCCATCCTCCACAGCAGGATGCACCAGTCTCTGGGCCTCTCCAGTGAATCGGAAAGCGTCCACTGTGAACTGCAGGGTCTCCTGGCGCAGCCGTGGGGAGAGGAACGTGGAGGAGACCCCTTCTTCCCTCCCGTCGAGCAGGCATCTGCAGTAGAGGAGATTTCTCTGGGGGAGGTGCCCTTTTTTTTGCCCGCTTAGTGCTACCAGCACCGTCTTGCATAACCTTACAAGAAGGGAAGCCAACAAAATTCATGTTCTTGAGCTCCGTGATCAGACAGGAATAGCCACTGCTGATCTCGGCAAGCTGAGGGTAAGAACCCCAGCTGGTGCCAGTCCTTCCACCCCTGCCCTGTGCTGGGAGCTCTCTCTCCCCCCTCCCCCAGCAAATAGTAGGTAAATGGGTCAGTTTGCCTCCTCCAGCTGGAAGATCGTGGCTCTGGGATGGGCCATCCCACGGCACCCTTACCAGCTTGGTTCAAATTCTGGGACCTCCCTGCATGCAAAGCAGTTGGCTCCCCGCCCCCCAGGCCGCCAATTCTAGCCTTTTTCTAGGAGCAAAGGCTTTGCTGCTTTTCGGAAAGAATCAGCTGCAGTTCCAGGTGAATTGAGGGCACAACTCCCAGAATTCCTAGCTAGGGTGGTTGCTGGCGTTCTGGGAATTGTGATCCCAAAACCCCTGGAGGGCACTAGTGGGGAGCAGGAGGCTTCAAGCTTTGCAGGGCGATGGCTCTTACCCGCTGGAGCCCATAATGTCGTACTGGGGCCCAGAGGTGGGCAGGGGGCTCAGGCCAGCGACACAGCTCTCCACCCAGAGCCTCAGAGGAAGGTGGTTTTCTGCCCGGACGTCAGCCTGAAGGTGCATGGGCTGTCCCAGCTGGAAGTGGGTGGAGGCTCTTTCAGCAGTCCAGTCGTCTGGCGCAAGGAGAGACACTAAGCCATGGTTTCTTGAGCAACCTCCCTCCCATCAGTTACAACTGCCCAAGACACAGAATCATCAGTCCTGATGCCAAAACTGCAGGGGGGTCAGCGGGCACGAAAGTCTCCCACAAGCGGGAGCAGCCCCAGGATGCCTCAGCGAGAGGTCCAGGCCAGGCGCTCAACCAACCTGGGGTTGGCTGGTTTGAGCCCGGCCAGAGCTGCCTTGGCCGGCTGAAAGGTTTCAGCCAAGTGGGGCAACTCTCATGCCATGTTTCTCAACCTTGGCGACTTTAAGGTGGGTGGACTTCCACTCCCAGGATTCCCCACCCAGCCTGGTGGCCCCCGGATTTTTCCGTTGCACTTCTGCAATAGGCCGAGTGGTCCGGCTCTTGTTACCGGAGTTGGGTGAGAAATGAGGAAGTTCCACAGTTGGAAAAGGGGCAAGAATTGGCTTTGTGAGCACAAGAGAAGCAATTTAAGGTACTGCGCTTTCTAGGGGTGAGAACGTGGCTGGGGGGGGATGCTGGTCTGTGCCTGGCTTTACCGAGTGGTGCACGTGCCTCATGGGGACGTTCTCCGCTCAATCCAACCCCGTAAATGTGCCGAAAAGTTCCTGCGGCCCCACCCTGGCCTCGAGCGAGCCCAAGAGGAAGCGAGACGGGCTTTGCCTGCAGGGTGCAGCCGGGGGTGGAGGGGAAAAGAGCCGGCTCAGGGGGACCGGCTCCCTCCGGGATTCGGGGCTCAGTTTCCAGAATAGACAAGGACTTCCTTCGCCTTTGGGGGTCGAGTGGGGTCCGCTGATGTTGGTCCTCATCCTCTAGAACGTCGTTTCTCAACCTCAGCAAAATGGGTGGACTTCAACTCCCGGGATCCCCCAGCCAGCATGGGGAATCCTGGGAGTTGAAGTCCACACACCTTAAAGTTGCCGAGGTTGAGAAACACCGCTCTAGTGGGGAGACTGCCAGGTTCCTCATCTTCGTGGATCTCAGTCTGAAACGTGCAAGATGGGCAGGGGGGCTCCCCCACCCTCGGCCCCTGCTGGAAG